TCCTTATAGGACCGTTGCCGTGGTGTTTCACCATGACTCGAACGGGCGAAAGCGAAAGCGAAAGGTCTATGGTTGTTCAGCAGCTTACCGGTTGCTGGGCTGCGGCTGCGTACTGGAGCTCGCTGCGGGCAGCCCCTAGCGACTCATCGTTCTGGGAGATGAAGTGGGCGGGCGCTGAAGCGAAGGCACCGGATGGCACCGGTAGCTTCGTGTGCGATCTCGAAAAAGTGCGCGCGCAGCGGGCACCATGCTTCAGCTTCGGCCCGACAGCGGTGGAACATGCTGGAGCAACCAACTGTCCGTACGTGCGCAGCAGGACTTTTGCCCATGCGAGCTAGTTTTCGAGCTTTCCTCTCGGAGGCCGGCGACCCAGCAGCTTGTCGGTGCTGTAAACAAGGAGAACCTCGGATTCGGGTCTCGGAGCGTGCTGAGGGTAGTTGCATCTCCGAGTGCGAACGGAGTGGCCAAAAGTGTTGACGGGCGGCTGACGACTCGCCAAAGTGAGCAAGGGGAACAGCGCAGGCCACCAGGGAAATTAGCCGGTGCCCAGTGCAAATCGGCCCTAGGTCAGTTCCGTGAACCATCCCACTCCAATGCAGCGTCATGTGCAAATCGGAGTACGAATGGACTGTCGTGGAATTTCCAACATTCTCACGGACCTTTTGGCGTCGGCGGTCGCAGGCTGCGGTCGCAGGCTACGTCCTGCAGGGAAAAACACACCGCCCGCGGACGAAGAGGGCGAGCCTCACGGGGCGGGGAGACGACTTGCGGGCACTGCCTCGGCACCATGGGCATCCGCCAGTAGGTCGCCCAGTGGCGGCTCGGTGCCATCGCTTTCGTCCGCTCCCGCCAGGGGCAACTCGAGCAGCGAGTAAGCCAGTGCCGCCACGGCCAGCATGCCCATCCATCGGTGCAGGGAGGCACGCTGCACGGCCGGGCGGAGCCGCGCAGGCGACTCGCGGGCACGAGCCTTAGTAAGTTGCCGCAAGAAGGCAACGGCCTCTCGGCTAAACCTGCCCCCAACTTCAACGCCCAGCACGACCAGCTTACAGCGGCGGGCGACTGCCAGCTCCGGGTAGGTGCGCTGGCGTTTGCGTTTCGCCGCCTGCTCAAGCACCGTGCCTGGTACACGATCGGCATGCGGCTGTGCGTCGCCCGCCCGCGTGATTGGTGACACTAGGGTGGTGCTCCTGCTTCGCGGCAAACGCGCGCAGCCGCCCTTTCCAGCGCTGCCCCGCGCACTCCCAGGACTCCGGCAGTCGGGCACGCTGCGCGATGATCACCAAGGGCATCAAGGTCGCCTCCACCACGGCAGCGCCGGGGTCCAATAGCTGTCGCAACCTCCTGAGCAACAACACGCGGATGCTTGAGAGGCGGAACTCCGGAGCCGT